CTCACACACACACACTCACACACACACACACACGGGCCACTCCATTCGCAATTATTATCAACAAATCTCGAGAACAGAAACTGTAAGGAGAAATAGAGTTCAAGTTTATTTTCCTGAACGTTCGAAGAAATAGAGCCGGCCTTTAAAAATGCTAAAAATATTACACTCCATTAGGCTTAGTGTAATTATAGTTCAAATAAAATCATTAAATTTCTCAAAAACTAGAAATTTGCTAGGGATGAACTTGTGTAAAACAGATAAAAATGTACAAGAAAAGTGCTATTTAGTGGGTTTTCCTGAGCATAGAGTAATAGTTATAGTAAAAATACCCACAATAAAATATTTCCCTTCATCCCCGTCCTCATAAACAGTGTTTCGACTTTGAACCTTGTGTATTTGTTTACATTATTTGTAAATTATAATTACCACTCCCTGAATTTTCTCTCCTTACTCACCGCTTTTCACTTTTTTCGTTTAGTTCACTGCCTTTACTACCAGACATTTTTGGAAGGTACCACAATGTGAGAGAGAGTGGTGAATGGGGAGTGAGATTAATTAATTCAATGTTTCACAGCGAAGAGTCAATGAATGATCCATTGATATAATATATTGTTGGAAAGGTCACTTTTAAAGTGCTTCGACATGATTCATAACTGATAAACCACAAATATAAACAGGCGTACAAAGCATTGCAAACATAATTTCATCTATGAAAATACACCGCAGACTGCAAGTAGGTTAGGCTGTGTAGGCGTAGAATGCTAATTTTAATGCGTGTTGAAATGTGCAAGACATTGACACCTCATGAAGGTCCAGTGGAGTATTAGTATCAGTATCAGGTTAACTGTTACTGGGAAAAGTGTGTTGTTAGGATTGGAGAACATTCTCTCGCTCTTGCAGTGTTTGCACGTTCTTTTTTAAAAATCTGTTACATGTACTCCTTTACAAGAAGATAGGCTTAGTAAATTTTTTATTTTCACTCCGGTATACAGATGCACTGCTTCGGGGGTCAGGTCTAGTTTTATTTAGAAAGGACCTTGAGAACAGGCTCATTCTTTTCTTTGCTGAGCCTTGAAAACATTTGATTGGTTATATTATTATAATGTGTTACTATAGTTGAAAGCGGGAGCAACTTTGACTGTGAGCAAGCTGCCACGTTGATCGCTCAGACTCAGTATGTTAATTTCACGCAATCATAGCAGTAGCAATGGATTATCTCTTCAATTAAGAAATATTCATTTACTTTGGGATATAATTGGAGGGCTGAAGCCCATTAGCACATCACTAAGCCCAGCTCTTGTTCTTATTCTTTGTCAGACTACCGCAATTTCTTTATTGTACTCGAACTCTTTCAAACTCACCCCCTCCCCCCCATTTTGATCAGCCCCTCGGTTGTTTCTAATGGGCTCTCTGAAATAAGAAATCAATATGTTGTTCTGAAATTCTGTGGTAATTATTGTATTTCTTCATCTTTTTACTGCTTATATTCATGTAGTTAAAGTCTTAAAGTGCAGTTTGATTTGATGTCTGATTTTTAAAATTTTATGCAGAGATATTTTTAGTTAATGATTTTTTACTTTATTATATTGTAGTTTTGATCATTCTAAATGTATTCATGTTCCCTGTAAAGTTATGCCAAAGTTATGTTAGATTTTATGTTACTACTATGTTCATTGTCTTTCTAGTTTCTTTAAAAAAAAAAAAAAGAAAACTTAGTTTAGAAGCTTTCTATGGTAAAACTACATGAGTATGAGCTCAAAGATGTAAGCAACTTATTATGATTATTCTCTTCAGGTGATCCTCGCTGTCCTCTCTCCTCCTTCCTGAAGTATGTGACACACTTGCACCCAATGACAGATGCCTTCTGGCAGAGGCCAAAGCGTAACGTCTCACAGTCAGACTACGTGTGGTACGACCACACCCCCCTGGGCAGTAGCACACTGACAAAAATCATGCAGAGGATCTCCCTCCAAGCAGGTAGGCTACGCTTACTTTGTGTACAGAAGTGTTATGTTATGTGTGGATTCCAATAGGAGTCACGCAAGGATAATTTGTTTGTTGGAGTAAAAAGATGCACAAATCTGTGCGATTATATAATAATGGTCGTTTAATGCCGAGAGAAAGTAAAACAGACTGATGTTGCGGAGGGAAAGTTACTTTACTAAAAAAGTAGGACCTACCAGTGATGCTGTCCAACTGCCTGCTCAATTCATGTGGATGAATTTTTAATGAGGCTTTAGTGAACAGGTTTTAGAATTTGACAAAGATAATATTAGATTAATAGTACAGGATTGTTTTAATAATATTTATACAGTGTTCTCCCTCGTGGAGAGTTGGCTCTGTGAACTTTACAAAATAAGTCTGTGTGAAGATAGGGTTTTCTTTGATGCATCCTGTCCCTTTTGGATCCTTGCCTCCCTGATAGCTTGTATTAAGTAATTCTTTTCTGATCCATGCTTCCAAGCTTGGTGACACTTGTCTTTATTTGTTTAGAGATGTCCTGACTACATGCTACCAGTTTCTTCTTTTTCTATTTTGGTTTTGCTTACAGTACAGTCTTTTTTATTTTGTTTGTGGGAGCAAAATTTACGTATATGTTCATCACTCTCTGATCCTTAGTGTAGAACAGAACAGTGCTTGTTTGCCATTTTGTAGTCAGAACCCACTTTATCCATGTTTAGGAGGCTAAAATTTTCTTATTGTCTACCTACATATGATGACCCCAGTGCTTTCTTGTCGTATTTCTATTTATTTTTTACAGTGAGAACAGTTCATAACAAAGAGTGAACTTTAGAAAAAGTTACATATTCAATGCTTACACAAATGGAGATACGACAAGAAAGCACTGAGGTCGCAATTTGTATTTCCAAGTGGGACATTTTACTGAATAATATCTGTCATTATCTGGGTGATCCCACTGCCCACCAGAATTACCAAATCACCCTCTAGCAGACAATATAGATCTATATATATCTCCTAGGACGACAAGCACTGATGTAGAATAGAAAAACAGACTGGTTGGGACTATCTTGTGTTGTGATAAAAGCCTTATGCCTTATCGTGTTATAATATAATGTATTGTAGTGTCTTTGTAGTATTCTACTGACTCAGCCTATATAAGGACTTGTTTGCAGAATCCTCTTGATGTCTCGAGGAAGAGGGTTAAAAAATAATAGATGGAGTGGGGAAGGGTTTATCTGAGAAGGTCATGCTTGGGTTTTCCCTTTGTAACTGGAAAATAAATGTATAAGTTTTGCTGATAGTAGGCCTACTTTGTCTTGTTACGTTTTTTCGCTTACACCAGTTTTAAGGGGCTATTTTTTAACAATTTTATCTTGAGTGGTCGGCGGGTGCTCTGTTGTGGTTTGCTCCTTCTTTCCTATCAAATGTCTATCGTCCTGATCTCTCCTCCTTCTTTTTTGTGTTTGTTACTCTCTTGTAACATCTCTAATCTTCAGCACTTATATGACCTTATTGTCCTGCAAGTGTCACAACACTCTTACTAAATCTAAAACTATTTTTATCTTTGTTTGCCATGCTCAGTGCACAACTGTAATTGTGTGTCCTTCACTGCCTAGTTGCGATCATTTTAGGTGATCAAGTGACTGAGAAGTTCTTCTGTCCTTGTATACCAGTGTGATGTGATACCTGTTGATAATACACTGGAGGAATGTGATATCTGTAATTTGGTTGAGATCAAGAGCCCTCTATATCTGCTTATGTTGTATTTTAAACTTTCTCACCCCTTTGTGTTCGGTGGAGGGGCATGTGATTGATTAGTTGATCTTGCCTTACAGATCTACTAAATTTGTCTCTCAAGAAGCATAAAAAGACTCAATCAACTCATATTATTGGTTCAAGTTAAGTATTGAATGATCATGTTTTCTTTTTCCTTTCTTTTCTCCAGGACTGAGTGACAACTACACAAACTACTCGATTCGCTCGGCGTGCATTCCACTAGTTGAAGCTGTGTGTGAAGAGGCTTTGAGGAAAGAAAATGGTGGAGTGGCTCCTTCACAGAATTCTGTACCGACTGTGGACATCATCAAGCCCCCGGGACCCGTCATGTCTCACTCCACTTCGGAAGAGATCTCCAGTGACGACGGCCTGTCACAGGCCTCAGACATGCAGTCGGCCAAAGATTTTGACCGGAACGGAGGTTCTGTTCGTGTGAAGCCTCCGGGCATCTCCGTCTCCAGCTCTGTAGGATCGGGGAGCATGGATGCTGATGATAGCGATATTTATGGTGAGTCTTTCCTTTCTGATTGACTTCACATCTCGCTTTCTGCTTTATGTTTTAAGTTTCCTATCATGCCTTAATTATTTTTTTTTTGGGGGGGGGGGGACTTTCTAATGTGTGTGTTTTATGTCTGATTGAGCCGAGTAAATCAGAGGCACAAATTTCTGTGCAGTATTTGTCTTTTGTAGTTCGGGGATGTACAAAGTATCTTGAGTCGGTACCCGACAGGACGGGCCATGTAAATGATGTAGTTGAGGACAGGAAGCAAAGTGTATGTGCCCACAGTTCACAAAACAATGAAGGTCGTCCGTACATTTTCTCAAATAGACATGCTGGCTATTTTCACTACTTCAGTCCAGCTGGTCCTCTGTTTGTATTTTTCAATTTTGTCTCCTTGTCAGCGTCTCTCATCCAGTTTGGTGAAATGGCTTATGGTGCTTGTTGGTAGCTTCTTCAAGATGTGACCAACCTGTACCCCACTTGTGCATTTGAATCTCATACTTTACCAGTGCCTGGTCTGTTGTCTGCCACTGCTCCTTCTTTTTTAACTTTCTCTAGCGGTTCAATCATGTTTTTCACCGCTGGTGGTTGTAAAAGTGAATCTTTTTTTGTATTTCTTAGTTGTCTCCCTCGTGTATGTATAGATGTTGAATCTTTGTCTGAACTTTCTCAGACGCACAATTTTTGTGTTGAGTTGATGAGGGATTGAATCATGCTGTAAGCTGTCTACTGGGGAGATTTCAAGCCCCTCGACTTTGCTCTCCCTGCTACGGATGTTGAAATTTACAGATCCTGCCTCCTCCCTCTCTGTCCTACCTTGTACAGAAATGAATTATCATACCAGAGAATCATTAAGCTGAGAAGGCAGCTGGATGTACTGCTTTTCATTGATTGTTGGGGAAGTTTAAGTGAATATTAATTTAGGAATGGCTCTAATTGCAAAAGGTGAAAGATGAATCATTGGATGTTTAATGAAGTGCCCTCTGACCCATGACTCAGTTGGTTGTGTGCAGTGCTGGTTGGTTTTGGGTTGGGTTTGTTTTGGGTTGGGTTTGTTTTGGGTTTTTTATTTTGGGGGGGGGGGGGGTGTTATTGGTTTTTTAAAAAGTAGATCGCACAGTTTGTGGTGGGGATATTCTTCTAGTTTTTATCTCCGTATTTGATTTGATTATTCAGCAAGTTTTTTTCTCTCCTCACACCTGACCAAGATATAGTCACAATGGTGTCAGAAAACTCAGTAAAAAGAAATTCTGGGCCGCGTTGTCCCTTTGATACAGACATGAGCATTTTCTTGTTGACAGAACTGTGAGAAATGTATGCATTTTTTTGTTCTTTGTTCTTTCCCCCCCCCCCCAACCACACACATGTCGAGACCTTCATGGTTACATGTTAAAGACGGCAGACTGTTTGTATTTTAAAATCTATTTTTAAGTCGTGTTCCTACTGTGGGAATGTATAGCAAGTATGCCACAAGTTCAAAGCCCAGGAGGCCAAACAACATTACTTGACGTTCACACGTCATGCTGTCAATGAGTATTGACGTTCACACGTCATGCTGTCAATGAGTATTGACGTTCACACGTCATGCTGTCAATGAGTATTGACGTTCACACGTCATGCTGTCAATGAGTATTGACGTTCACACGTCATGCTGTCAATGAGTATTGACGTTCACACGTCATGCTGTCAATGAGTATTGACGTTCACACGTCATGCTGTCAATGAGTATTGACGTTCACACGTCATGCTGTCAATGAGTATTGACGTTCACACGTCATGCTGTCAATGAGTATTGACGTTCACACGTCATGCTGTCAATGAGTATTGACGTTCACACGTCATGCTGTCAATGAGTATTGATCGGTTTGGGAGAAAAATGGTGTGTTCGTGTTTTGCTTTGTTCTGTTTGTTCTTTCTGTACTGTAGGAGCCTTTCAGCTTTGTAAACTGCGTGTGGCTGGTTGGCGGGTGCTCTGGTGTGGTTTGCTCCTTCTTTCCTATCAAACATTTATCGTCCTCATCTCCCCCTTCTTCTTTTTTATGTTTGTTACTCTCTTGTAACGCCTCTAAACTTCTGGCGCTCATATGACCTTATGCAGTTGCGAGCACCGTAAAGCCTCTACTAAAACTAAACAAACTGTGCGTGTGTTTTTATGGTCCTGTACAGCCAAGAAAAATTTCCTTCTTCGACAATGAAGTATTGTCTTATCGTATCATGTCTTATCTATCTTATCTTATCTTATCTTATCTGAAGTTCAATAATTGTAAGTGAAGGTGAAGAATGTTTTAAAAATCAAGAGCTTGACTTTTCCTCAGATTGGATTTAGTGGGATATATTTTTATAATAAAGGGATTAGATGTAGGTCCTTTGTTCATCATCATATTTGATTGAAGAAAAGAGAGCGTTCAGAATAACTCTACATTCACAAGTGAATGGCTGCTGATGTCATTGTGTCTTTGGGTTATTCCCCCTTCTCTCAGTCCCCACCCCTCCCCACTGAAGTGTGAATTGTAGACTGCCATTTGATCTTTCTGGTGTGAGCGTGACTCCAATCCCCGGTGGGGAGTGAGGGTTTTTTCCGTGATGATTGAACTTCAGTTACTGGCATCTCTGTCATTCTTTAAGTTTACGGATAATTGCTGTTATTTCTCAGTAACAAGTGAGACCTTTGAAATAACGAGGGAACAGTGGGAGATACTTACATTTAGTCCCCCCTGGATCAATGGCGGTCCAACAAGTTCTAAGACTGTGACGTACAGAAGCGCAGTAATTCTCCCTTTCCATAGTAAAGATGTTGATCTATATGTTAACATTTACGTCATCGCCAAGTTCATTCTCCAGTAATTTCTTGGGCAAAGTTCAGACAACATCTGATCTGATTGTCGGTGGAAATGTCTAGTGCATGTAAAGTGCCATGCGAGTTTGTGCCACGAAAATGTCAATGCTGAAAAAGCTTGTGCTATTCATGACGACTGAGTTGGCATTTAAGGACTGTGAGGGTTATTGATCAGACACACATTATAGGTTTTTGGGGTCTGGAAATACCAGGAGTGCCTTGTTTGGAGTTGCAATAGGATAATTGGAGGGGAGGGGTATGTGCGTCATCCTAGAAGTGCCTAGTGGGGGATGAGAGCAGTGTGTGTGTGTATTTCTGTCTGGGTGCAGGGGAACAGTGTACACACATAGTTCTGCTGCTCGCACTCGGAGAAGTGGAAGCTTTTTATGAACTCGTCTGTGAACACCTGTTGGAATCGGATCCAAAAGTACTGTGACATCTTAGATAGAAGAGTAAAACATGCTTTGATTGTTTGTTTTTGTTGGTTTGTTTTTTTCTTGTGTATCTGTGTGTTGTTGGTTTTTTTAGTTATGTATATTATATACAGTCAAAATTGTCTGAGACGGCCACCCATTGTTGAGGAAAAAAGTGGTTGTGTTAGACATATCACTACCTCAGTGCTTTCTTGTCGTAGCTCCATTTTTTTAAACAGTGAAAACAGTTCATAACAAAGAGTGAGCTCAAGAAGAAGTCACATTTTCACTGTTAAAAGAATTTGAGATATGACAATAAAGTACTGAGGTTGCGCTGTGGACATCTTGGACAATGTCATTATAGTATACCTTTTTAAAAAAAAAGCAAGGAGGTCAGTGATTGTTTGGCCACGTGGCTGTTACCGCAGGTTCAACTGTATGTAAATATTCATGTGTTTATATACACAAAATGTATTCATGTGAGTGGGAAGATTATCATTATGAAACACATGGAACAAAAATAAACTGTTTTATGATTGAGCGTAGAAAAGTTGTTTTTAATTATCTGTTTACATTGTCCATGCTTGGGAGGCAGTAGCAAGAAAATGGATAGGTTGTTGAAAAAAAGAATTGTCAATTCCACTTTTGTAATGAGTTTGGAATTAAATTGTATTTCCAGGTTTGATGCAGGCAAAAACTCAAGTACTGGATCTCATCCGTGGGCTAATGGTCAAAGACATTCAGAAGTTTGTGGACTGGCTCAAGACAGTTCGAGTTCAGTACAGTGCTGGAGGTAAGCAGCTTTATTTTTTCAGTTTAAGTAAGAGTTTTACAGCACTTTCAACACAATTTAGTGATAAAAGTGCCGAAGATTAGAGGTGGCACTAGAGAGTAACAAAACACAAAAAGAAGGAGGAGAGATAAGGACGATAGACATTCGATAGGAAAGAAGCAGCATACCAGATCAGAGTACCTTCCAACCACCCTCAAGTAGGTTTTTCAGGCTGGTTATGTTTGGAGTGTTTGGAAAGTGTTGCTGTGAAGTTCCACTCCTCTCCTTGACTGACTCTCTGTCCTTTGCCTTTCTGTCTGTTGGTTTTCTTTGTCACGTGTGTAATTATTGTAGTGTGAGTCATGAGGATGTTGTTTTGCTTCTCTTAAATGCGAAGAAAAAAAGCTATTTTATTTGAATTAGAAATTTAGCAGTATCATTTCAAGTTTTGTGGCTCTAGTCTTGTATTTGATTTTGTTGTTGTTTCCCTCTTTGCCTGTCTTTGTTTTGCTCACTCAAATTTTGTAGTTGCTTATTATATGATAGTTTGTTCCGGAATCTCTCTCCCATTTGGGAATTTAATTTTGGCATTGTAATTATTGTCTTCAAAGAAGAAAAGTTACAAACACAGTAGTTCTTGCTCTCTGCATTGCAAACTGATTTGTCAGTGTTTTTGTTTACTGCTTTTTAATCACACTTCAGATTCAGTGGGTTTTAATCTAACATACATATGTGGATTTAAATTCTGAGTAGTTTTTGATGAGATTGCAAATTTATCAGGCTGTGTGTGCAAATGCACTACATCTTTTCAATTTAAAAATTATTAGAGGAATTTTTAGATTGATGTTGTTGCATCTCTTGAAGCCAAATGTTTCCTGTAGTAGAAATGCCAGGAAATATTTATTATGAATGATATATATTATTATATGTGCATGTTATTGTTCATAAATGTACTGGTTGCACACATTCAAGTCTGTCTCCTTCGTGTTACATCTGTTGCAAATTGTTCACAAATTGCTCATTATTTTTGTGGGTTTTTTTTTCAGAACTGATTGTACTGTGCAGCCCTGTGGACAAAAGTAATGTGGAGCCGATTCCTGATGACATCACAGTGGACAGGAATGGCGTCCCATCCCGAAACGGCACGCCAGACCCCACCTTCAAAAAGTCGGGCAGTCTGGATTTGTCTGAGAAGCGCCAGAAACTGAAGAAGGAATCGTCGGTGAAGGAAGAAGACAAACTCGATTTGCCCGAGCTGACGGGGACGACTATCAAGCAAGTGGACTTTAGCTCTGTGGCTGGTGTCCACTGTTCCTCTGACGAGTTTGGGCCCATGAAGATCAGCGTCCCTACCCATGATACCTTGCTGGTGACGGGAATCCCAGAGAATCTCCAACTGATGATGCACAAAAAACGTGGTCAGAATGGACACCGGGAGTCGTTGATCTCGAGAGTTTTCTGCTCTGAGAATGAAATGGATGTTGCTGAGGTTGTGGCCGTAATGGGCACTCACAACAAGAAGGCCAAGCAGCGCAATGGCCACGCGGTGAACAACCATGTTGCCAGTAGCAACGGCATCAGCAGCAGCCCATACCACGTGGTGGAGCATCAGGTCAAGCACCAGACAACGGTGCTGCACCGCAGCCCTCACCAGGTCATGGTGACCATCCCGGCCGCCCACACCCCGATCATGTCCACTCTGAGCGCCCGTGAGCACTTCAAGGATCACAGGAACAAGTCCATGGGTTGCCTGGAGACCCCGCCCCTTCTGCCCGAAGGCATGGCCTCCCTGAAGCGAGTGTCCAGCACGGGAACCCCCGTGCTCAAACGGCAGGCCCACGTGATTGAGCCGTGCGCTATGTACCCCGAGAACCTGACGGTGAAGCGGCCCCGCGACGACAACCTCCAGGCCACAAATCTCTCCATGAAACCACTGAAGAAGACGGAGTCGCAGGAGGCCAAGAGAGCCAGAGCCGACCGGCTGGCCGACTCGCTCCGCTACCACCAGGAAATTCTCCAGAACTCGCCGCTCATCAAGCGACCGGGCGAGAGGAATTTCTCCGGTTTTCGTCACTGTTATGCCAACACTGTGGGCAATTCGGTGAAACCCGAGCCTCTCGATACGTCCTACAGTTGATGGTCGACTGGAAGATTGTCTGGTTGAAATTTTTCTAAGCAGTACCCTTGCTGCTTGTGTTGGCTCCCGAGAGCGGTGAGCTGCAAGTTGTTGTCGCCACGGCAGCTGGTTGTCTGCGGCATTTTGTTGTCATTACGCCATTGTCTATGAAAACCCGTTTGGGAGTTTGGTCAAATTAGATGGTCTCTTGAAGAAGGTGTGAAGACCAACTCGATGCTAGGACCTGTTGCTTGGACTGATGTTGGTGTTTGGCGTTTTATTCAACACCCTTGTTATGATGTTGTTCTAGGTATGGTTTTGAACAGAATGCTCTGGTTTTGTGATATCATATGACATGGCTGTTTTGAATTTTTTATACTCACACATTTGCAGATTATTTGTTAGGCCATCATGGCCACTTTGTCTGCAAAGTTCTGTGTTTTCTTTATAATGCTAGATTGTACATAAACATTATATACATATGTATATATATGATATGTCATATATATATATATTTGTGTATATATATTATATATGCTTTACCTGTGAGTTCAGAAAATTTCATATTTTTCGCTTTGGATATGAAACATGTTAGTTGTTTCGTTTGTGATAACCAATTTATCATTCATTATAAAAAAGAAAAAGAACAAAAAACATTCTGCTGTTCAAGACAGAACTGCCCCCATGTGTATCTGTAGCTAGTTCTTTTTTTTGTAATTGAATCTAAATCCACCGCCAAACTATATTCAGTTTCTACATTCACACAGCTGTATAGGTACTGTATAAAGCCACATTTGTATTTTGTTTTTTTATGCTTCGGTACATGTGCGCACAAATGGCACTCTCTCGCAGCAGATGATCCGCTGTGCCGGATAGCGACAAGGTTAGTGTGTGTACTCGACACAGAGGCAAAGCCGGAGGTACGGGCTGGACTGTGTTGTCCTTGAGAGGAGCAGACGTGCTGACTGATGAAGATCAGTAAATTATTAGGTTTTTAAAAAAAAATTTACTGATTGGATTGACCTGAACTGAAAGTGAAAGTTCTGGTAGGCTGTTTGGATGTCGTGCCGTTTGTTGGCCCAGAGAGACCCTGTGGCCTTTGATGCACTCTGTATAGCCACCAAGCTTGGATGGCTTAGAAAAGAGTCGCTGCAGACTCCCTTCAAGGCATTGCTCCTCTAAGCAGATGATGCACGGCGAGATGAGATGTCTGATTTGAACTTTTGTATGTTATCACATTTTTGATAGACTGAATATTCAATAGGCTTCTCTGAATTATTGTAGAGACATTCCACTATGTTGTTGTGACACCCTGAATTTAAAAAAAAGATGTTTTATCCTATATTATCCAATAGCCTCGTTTAGAGTTTTTGCACAATGCCATAATCAAGAAATCCATACCTTGTAAATTCAAGAAGTCTCCTCTATTCAATTGCTGTTTTGATTTTAGTTCTGTTTGATGTTTCTTCTGACACAAACAACACTCTGTAATTATCCAAGGCACATGATTTCTTGTGTTCCTTTTTTTTTTTTTTTTTTTTTTTTTTTTTTTTTTTTTTTGAGATATAAGAATTCATATAACTGTTGTGAGTTATTCCTTCTGTATGACATGAACCTGTCTTGTTGACGGCAGGTTGACATAATGTATGTGTTCTCTCAACAAGAAAAGAAATGATGTACCACTGTGTTCAGACAGCTTAGACCCGATAACATTTCGAGATAAATTTTGTCCGAACGTAACGGCAACCTTGAGGCAGCTTCATTTTCCATCTGCCATCAGCTGTGAAATGCTAAGCCTTGGAACATGGACAAATTGGATGCTAGTGGGGGGGGTCATAAATTAAGAAGTGATTGTCAATCTCTACTGTATCTATACTAGGTGCAGATAAGCCCACATTTTTTTTTGTCAAAGAGACAATGATTTGCCATAAGTAAGTTCATGTTTGGTCTAGCATCTTTTTCTTCGGGCTTACCCGATTTATGAAAAAGGCATTGTCTCAAGTTGTTAGATTGAACAGCAAAGGTTCTCTGCCTGTGGTGGTAACTTTGTCATGGTGCTCCCAAAATGCGGTACTCCTTACACGTGTATCGCTTGACCTGTCTTGTTGGGTACATTGTGTGTACACAGGGTTTATAAAGTGTAGTCCAGGGTCTATAAAGAGATGGTATAATAATGTTTCTTGGAATTTTTATGGCATCGGAAAAGTGCCCCCCCCTCCCCCCTCAGTACCATGTATTCACATTGTAGTTTTGTTGCATTCTTTCTTGATCTGCTCTGTTATAAACGCCTGTGGCATGAGTAATGTTATGGAAATTTGTACCCCGTGACGATGAATATATGCGAAAAATTTAAGTGCCTCAGGTAGCCTTAATAAATAAACCTATGTTTCCAATTTGAGGTCCCTTTCACGTGTATAGTAGCATAGTTCGGAACTTACATACATACATAGGATGCTTAGCGACTGATGTCCAGTTTTGTACATAAATTGATACTAACGCGGCAAGTTGTGACATTGTACAAGTTTCGGGTGTTCCATTTTCTTTGTGAGCATGTTGGACTATGTTCAACATGTTGATTAAGGTTGCCATAGTGTTTTTAGTTCTGTAGCAAAAATCATTTGCTTCTGTGTAGTAGTCACCTTGTTGGTAGTGAAGTTTCAGTTGTGTTCATGTATACTTTTTGAGAACTTTCTACTGTCAACATTTGGGGATTTTAAAAAAGTACGATTAGCAGGAAGAGGAAACGGTATGGTTCTAAGGTCAGAGTTTGTTGTGAAAATATGCAAGATTTCTGTCACTGTACGCACAGGACAAGTATGATTTCTACGACTGTACGCACAGGAAAAGTATCTCTGCATGCCTGGAGAACAACACAAGTTCATGGGGCAGCTGATCTGTGACTGCACTGGAGAAACAGCTAGCTCAGGCCATGTCATTCGAGTTGATATCCCCCCCCCATTTGCGTTAATTTTTACCTTGCTTATCCATGGATGTATAAAGTGCAATAATATCTGTGATGCTCCCTTTTGGTCCATTTTTCTTCTTTTCCTTTGATGTATAATTTCTATTGGACACTCTTAGCTGCTGTTCTGTTGTGGTTTTTTTTTTTTCCGATTGCTTTATTCCTTCATGCTTTGTCTTTACACCTTTTTTTTTTTCATTTATCATAAACATTCTTCATTATTACAACTGAGTTGAACATGATTTGTGTCTCACCTAGTGTCGCTTTTTTCTAAGACCAGGGAAAACTTTGTAAAAACCTTTCGTCATAAAAAAGCATATTGTCTATGTTGTGGCAGTGAAGGGTATTTTTAAGTGTTTGTGGTGGAGTTGATTTTGTGTTTTTTCATTCTGTCGAGGAAAATTAGAAGGAAAAAAAAAACAAGAACAAAAACTTGGTTGTCTTGTTGTCCATGTCTCTGTAATCTTGAGTCTGTAAGGAATGAGCTCACTGAGAAAGTACTGTGACTGAAGAACTTCGCAAATGTTGTGTAAGACACGAGCGTGTTTCTTCTTCTTTTTTTTTTTCTGGACTGCCATTATAATGATGATTTTTTATTCCTGTTTGATTTAGTTGTTTTATAACCATCCTTACACTTCGCTTTGCTAATGACAACTTATAAAACTTACAAAGGACACGCTTAATCAACTGTGTAATAAGTATATTATATTCTCATAATTCTTACTCTTTTAAACTACAGTTATGGTAACATTAACCAAGGTATGTTTTCCCCCCATGTAGTTTCCTCGAAGTGGACACAGAGGTGAGCGGAGACAGAGAGGTGAGCGGAACAGAGAGAGAGAGGAGGAGGATATGATTTTGCTTTTCTGCTTTCATTTTTATTCCATACCCACAGTGTCATTTCACTGGTATGAAGCCTTTTTTTAATCAGGGTAGAGCAAGAACTTGAAATAGAAGTAGAAGTGAGCGAACGAGTTTTAACGTTTTTTGTTGATTTTTTTTTATTTGGTGAGAGACGAGTGTGGCTGTGTGATGACACTACTAGTGATTGGTTCTGTTACTTTTCTATAGTGATTGGTTCTGTTACTTTTCTATAGTGATTGGTTCTGTTACTTTTCTATAGTGATTGGTTCTGTTACTTTTCAAAAGCTGTCTTTATTTATGGCAGCTCATTTTTTACTTTGTTGCTTTCCGCTTTTTTTGAGTTCAATCATTTTCAGCTACTTTTTTTTGGTGCATTTTATTTCGGAGAGGTATGGAACTAGAAGAACTAAATGAGTTGTAGAAGCTGTTCTCGTGGCTCTTCACAAATTTTCAAGCCTTGTTTGTGATGCTGCTCCATCTTATGCTTGTTCATTTTGAGTTTTTTAAAGAGCTGATATTTTTTTTATAGATCTTTTTAAAACAGCTGGAAAAGTTCATGCAGGCCGTATGTCATTTAACCCATGAGAGGAAAACAGTTTTTGACAATCTGATGTCTTCTTTTTTTTTTCCGACTAACTAGCCAAGTTTATTTGACTTAAGCCTCATGGCATGAATCATACGCTTACCCTTCTGGATCAAGTTTCGTTTGTTCTGCAGTGAATATATTGGAAGTTTTAGCTTTTAAAATGTTCAAGCAAGCTTTTACCCCAAAACAGCTTCTTAGCAAACGGTTCTTCTAGTTATTGTTTCGTGGACACCTCGGAAAGTTCATATTTTGGTCTGGTGCTCTGTAGTTGGAAGTGATTAGAACTCAATGTAATTCAAGGTAATCTTCAAGTATTTAATGTTCCACTTTCGAAAGGTTTTTTTTAAGCTGCCATTTTGACTTTATCTACTTCTGGTTATATATACAATATTCATTTAATGGTATTATTTCATTGAGAAGTTACAGCGAAAGGACTAAGAGCCCCAGTGAGCTGAATTTTACTTTATTTTTCTCTTTGATATTTGAAAGAGATTTAATGTTTGCTTGTTTCAACATTGTTGGTTGAAAGTTTTTCTCCAAGGTCAAAGAAATTCTAACGGGAATGGGGTTTGGGGTTGTTTTTTTCTACCTGTTTTCTGTTACTCTTTTTTTTTTTGTAGGTGCATTAAAAACAGTCTATACTATATAGATATATATATATATATAAGAAATGTGTGTGTGGTCATTGGGGTAAAACACTTGAATGGTTTAGCGAACAATGTTGACTTGATGGTCTTTCCAACAGGTGGAAAAAGTTGTTCTACTTTGAGTCGCTTTTCTTTGTTCTATTTCACTGGCTATTGTGACTGGATGATGAAATTGGGTGATTTTGTTATTATCGATCCTGTCATTTGCTGTCAGTTCATATATACCCCGGTCCAGAGAGGGAAAGGAGGGAATGTGATTAGCCCTGAAGGTTGTGGTGCACTGAGCATTTGTTTCACCAGTTCTCTATTACAGTGTGTTGACTGTTGTAACCAAATACCTGATGCTCTCTTACAGAAAAACTACCGAACTTTAAATAAATGATTTGGCACTGAATTTTTATGTCGAGTCTTGAATTCTCACTATGAAAAAAAACAAACAACATACATATATATATATATATACGTATATATACTGCGCTTTTTTGTGTTTGGTGTGAAGCTGGATTCTGTACATATAAAAATCTAGACTTGTCATTAAAATCAGATTTGGTAGACGTATTTCCTGTATTGGCTTGTTTTTTCTTGTGTTTATTACGTTCTTAAAGTCAATTAATTTTGACATACCCATGAACATAATAATAATATGCTGTTTGTGTTTTCGAAAAAAGAAATTAAAAGATCCTTTCAATCTTGAGAGTCATGTGACACAAATGATTATTTTTTTACTCTGCTCGTTGAGATACGTGTGGTGTAACACTTGTCGGAAATTGTGAACATCAATGATTTTGATGTAGCACCTGACAGAGATGCGGTTTCTGGGACACTTGAATCGACGTTAAAAAGGCCTTGGACTTGGACATTTTTTGCTCATGGTACAACTCTGAATGCAAAGGAGGCAGGGGTTGACTCGTTATCGTAGCAACTCTCTTAGAAAGTAAAGTCTGTACAGGTGGTTGACAGGGAAAGACCAGGATAATAAACATGTATCATGTTCATGTAGTTGTTCTTTTTAGAACATCCGAGCAAAGGGACAAATGGTGAGCCATGATCGCCGATGTCTTCAACTGGTCTAGCATTTAATGATGACGACAATAGCATCTGCTGGTCGCAAACAAACATCTGACCTGCACTAGATGACATTAACCGATCAACGAGATCAGGCAAAACAACAAACATTCAGTTTATTGGCCAGCGTCTGGCGTAGTAATGATCAGGCTGTCGTGTTCTCTGTCTGACTAGTACATGGTGAGCTCGATATTCATATCATTATGTTTAACATCCCAGTTGACTTAAGTAAGATCGTTGTAGAGTAAAACCATGGGTGAAATGGACACAGCATCCCTTGGAGACAGACGCAGATACTCGATTAAAAAAATATATATATACACATGCGAACTGAACTCGCCTCTTCTGTGTGTGATAGTAAAGGGCATAATCATTACACTTTTATTACACATTTGCTTTTGGCGCATGCCACTCAGAACTTTCATAGATCAACGCCACCTGGCCCCAGTTAGTAGTTAGCAAGGTGAGCAAAATGTTTGAATTCGAAACTCCTCTTTTCCCCCGAAGTTTTCTGGAAGCAAAATGGTATCTGTGGTGTAGCAGTTAGGCCTTTTGTCTTCGCACATAAAAGAAAAGAATTCCATTCTCGAGTGGGGAGGATGATTTTTATCAAGTATCTCGGTCTCTCTGCTGGGACACTACTGTATCCATCTCAGCCCAGAGTGGCACTGACAGGCAGGGTCCAAGCCCACCTCCTAAATCATTTTTTTTATAGTAGAGGGTTTTACGGCGCTCGCAACTGCATAAGGTCATATGAGTGCCAAGGGGTGGGTGTCAACAGAGAAGTCTTACAGGGAATCAGACTTAGACTGCTCACCTCTCTAGCTTCAACAGCACAAGGTCTGCTTCGACTATCAAGGCACCCCAAAATAGGTCACAAGAGAGTGACAAAGATACAAAAGAAGTAGAGGAAAATGACAATAGTAAGGATCAGGAAAGAAAAAGCAGCAGTTCCCTGTTGTAGATCAGGCACAGTTATGAGCGTGACATGAGTCAGCCCATTTACAATTGTCCCCCCTTTGGGAATAGCCTCCTAAATCATGATCTAAATTACGTCCACAGGGGTGAAAAGACAAACATTTTTTTAAAAATCCGATGCAACAACAAGGGAGGGTGTCACACACAGTGCACAAGGGTGGCTCAGAAAGTCATTAAAGTTGTCACCCTGCGGGTAAGATTTTGGCTTCAATCATATGACGAAAGAGCAATACATCTAACTGATCATAACATGACTACTTTTGAAGCAACCATAAGAGTTTCATGTGGCGTTTCTCTTGATTATCTTATGACCGCACATACAAAAGAATGTTTGGAGTGGGTGGTTGGCGGGTGCTCTGGTGTGGTTTGCTCCTTCTTTCCTATCAAACATCTATCGTCCTTATCTCTCCTTTTTTGTTTGCTACTCTCTTGTAACACTTCTAATCTTCGGCACATATATGACCTCATTGTGTTGCAAGTGCCTTAAAACTCTTACTAAAACTAAAAGGTTGTGTGCGCCCTGGGGGAAAAAAGGCAATGCTCATGAAAGTATTGAAAGAACCCATCCATTTTACATCTTTATTCCTTACGCACTGCAAACTTGGCGAAGCGTCAAAACTAAATTTACGAAAATTTCCAGTGTGCCTGTGGAAAATCTTTTGGATACAATAACACAGTCTGGCATTAGATAAGACAATTTGGTAAAGGGAGAGACAGTGTTTTTGAAGACCCATGTTCCAGTTCTGGTCACCCAAATTCCCCTGTGAACAAGAAAACTGTTGATGTTATCCAGCACCACCGTATTGCGCAAGATCCCTACGTCTCTATACTAGAACTTTGTGACATGTCTAGACTTAAATTTGGGTTGATATAAAATATTACAGCTTTGTCCACACTGTGTATATATATATATATATATATATATCTATATACATATCTATATCTCTCTCTCTCTCTCTCTCTCTCTCTCTCTCTCTCTCTCTCTCTCTCTCTCTATATATATATATATATATATATATATATATATATATATATATATATATATATATATATATATATATATATATATATATATATATGAAAAGCGTACATTCTTTTTTTACTAGAGTGCCGAAGATTAAAAAAGAAAATGAAATGGTATGGGTATAATGTCCCTATCAACACTTTTAAGGTTAAGATTAGTAGAGGTGTTACACTCATATCTTTTGCATTTTGTAGTGAACTCTAACCATAACACATAAAAGATGCTGGATCACTAGAGGAAGAAGAGATCAAACGTACACAATGCAATTCGCCAAGGAAAAAAAAATGGTATTCATCAATGAAACACACACAAAAAAATCCCCAACAAAGATCCCAAAAATTGAACAATGATTCTGATAAGTACATAACCTTTATTTCTTAAAATATTTTTTTTTGCAGGTTGAAGCTCGGTGTTACATGTAGAACATTACATCATGAAACTATGATATTTTATACTCCGATACATTAAAAAAAATATAATGGAAAAAAAGAGGCAGCAGTCAGCTGTAAACATACACTTTAAATTAGTGTCTTGTAAAAGAAAATGAGAGAACTATATTTTTTAAAACAAGAACATTTTTGAGTGTATGACGGTCTGGAATTTTAGGTGGGATGGTGTACCAACAAACTAAAAAGACGATAAAGTAAACCTTACATTTGACAAAAATACAAAAATGTCTTTCTCATGCTCAAACTGCCAAGCCTTTCATCTCTGTGAAGTTAAAAAAAAAATGTGACAAACTACATTTTATGAAACAAAAATCCAGAGATATCAAATTAGGAAAGAAAAATTAGAAAAAATATCCACATGGTAAGTCGCAAAACTAAGAACTGCACCGGAAGAAAGAATGCAAATACATAGCAGGTGACTTACAAGCATCCAAACACAACTGCTACATGTCGCATGTCGACCCTCTGTCCCCTCACACGGTACACAAAGAACAATAAAACTGTACGGTAGAAAAACCTTTTGATTTCAGACAATATCTAGCAATAGCAATGAACTTCATGGCTCCTGTTTAAAAAGAAAGATTTTTAAAAGCAATTAATTGAAACCTGTGTGTAGCGCAAACATTTGTTTCCCTGCACGATATATTAGAAACAATCCCGTAATTACCAACATTACTCTTGCTTTAGATAAAAAGAGAACATTGTATATTTGCTACTCTTAATTAAACCACTTGCGATACTGACTTGGGGCAATCATTGTGATAATATTAATATGATAAAGAATGACTCGCCAAATAAGACAAGATAAAACTTCTCATGGGATTTATTACAAGGGGACAGTTTCATGCAGTTCTATCCTCTGAAGAACTTTCAATGAGAGTTTCTTTGATTAACTTTTTCAAGAGGAAGCCTACAGTTGAAATGTCTACATCTTTTACTTTTACCATATTTTCATGCTTCTTTTTGATGTGAAAATGATAAGAACCACCATGAACTCTAGAATCGAGCTCTTAAAACTAAAACTGTAAATTTTCATGTGTTATCATTTTCCATGCATGAAATTGTCAATAAGAATTCTTAAAATCATCCTGATATTTAAAAAATCTTATAACTCGTTTAACTTCACAATGTCCATCAGTTGATGTAAAGAATTCTGGTTATAGAAATATTTACTTTACAATATTTAAAAAACTAATATTCTCATTATCCTTTGAACAATAAACTAATAAACTATGGCTGCTATAATCTGATGTTAGTCAGTTTATCTCTTTATTTACCGACGAGTCGTCTTCCAACATGTCACACTTTTTCTAACACTTCTCGTTTTGAATAACCAAATGACAGTGGCAGTTTGTTTATTTAGACAACAATCTACACATAGTTGACAAACAGAACAAGAGCAACACAAAAATGAACATTCAGTGCAGCTGAACAGAGGAAATATCTTTCCAATTTCATTTCAAATTTTACTCACAAGAAAACTGACAACAGAAACAAAAAGATGGCTGATCTTGAATCTATTGGGGGGGTGTCGGTTTATGGAAAACTTCCACACCCCTAAGAAAGCAAACAATGCAGCTTTTCCCCACCCGGCACAACCTTCAGACTAATGCTCTTCCTTGGCAGGGAGCATTGTAATAGTAAACTCTCTCTCAGCAGAACATGCACAGAAACAACTCTCATCTCAAAGCTGGTCCCCTGTACAAAAGTCAAGGGTTTTCTTAATAATTTAGTTTACACCCACATATCTGTGATCATAAAGTTTCATTGTTCTTGAAACAAGTAAAAAAAATAACTCGATGAATGCTCACGCTGCCTAACCTTGCCTTTGACAAAGGCCATCACAAAAGACTGTATCTAACCTACAGCAACATCAGAACAAAGTTGACTGCTGAATAAACCACGCAACAGGATAAAAACGAACAGTCGAGTTAGCTTCAACCAATATCTGTGTGACCGCTGAGTTTTCTTGCATTGAGCTGGGTTTTCGGTTTTAAAAAGTTTTCAAAAAGAAGTTCTCTGACAAAGTATGCTTCACACAGTTAGTTGCCACTATTTCTAACTCAAACAGCGGTGAGTATTCCTCCGTCTCTCTTTTGTACGAAGCCCTGTTCACAAAACATGCTGAATGTTACAGCAATACACATGAGCTTTACAAATCTTTTATCCACCTC